GATGATCATTACAGTAAATATTAACCCTCAACATAAATGTTCATAATTGTGAGTTTTGCAAGTGGTGTAGGATAGCATTAATACTTACAGAATATATACAGTATTAACACCTTCCATTTCCATCCCCTACCAGACTGACATTTATTGGTCTCTAACAGTATTGAGTGAATCACCCATGACCCCTTTGTCCTTATGTTGATGAATAACTACCTTATACCCATTATGTCAGATTCCGGTGCAGTGGAGTTGATACTGTCACCTTGACAAGAAAACTTTGTGATTCATCAGCCTTCAATGATGTCTAGACTCAACCCAAATCTGGCAAGAGACGCTCACTGTATGGGGCATCATCAGCAGCATCATCCAAAATCCTTCACCCAGACCCAGTGTGTTAAATAGCAGCCCTCTGTGAGGTCGGATAAATGGCTCTCGTTACAGTCAACCTTATAGGGAGGAAAAAAATAAAACACTTGCTAATAGCCCAGAAACCAAGCTGGTCACCAAAGGTCTGAAGATGAAGCACCCTGTCACTTTCCAGCTTGGGAAATTAGCAAATAATGTTCCCTTCCCCCTGACAAATGTATGACAGCTACTCTTTGCCAGTCATTCTCCCCTAACGTTATGATGCATGTCCCGGATCCCCACTAGAGGATACAGGCGAAGTGTACTGACCCTCAATTTACCCATGACAAATGGGGTCCCAGTAAATGTGCGATTTCTGGGGCGAGGTAGGGGTTCATTTGAACACAATCCCGGGAATAGGAATGTCACTGATTAGGATAAATAGTAGCTGAGTGTGTTAGCAGCAGTGCTAGCACTTCATATCACTAAGGGTCTCCATAGGGGTCCTGGGAGGGTAGCTGTCATAGAAATCAAGTCGAGATAGAAACTGATGCAATTAGAGTTTGAAAGTTACTGATACATTTTACTGATAGTTTACTCTTTTGCACTGGTGTCGTCTACTGTAACGTTGTGGTAAAAACTCAATCACATAGATTTACTAAATTGAAGTCACCTAGAGGGCCCTTTATAAAAGCCCTTTAAGAAAACACACAGATCCGTTATGCTGTGCTTAATAAAGTGTGAAGTATTGACTTAAGGACAACTGGACCTGTCTCCCTTTGATTTTCTACAACCTTGCTGACAGTTTGATCCTCCGGACACCCTGACCAATGGATAACCAATACATGGATCAGATACAGGACAAACCACCTCCATGAGACAATAATACACCATGTCCTTTCCCTAAAGTAAACAATGCTGTAAACATTGATACATTAAAGGCCCAGTGGAATCAAAAATTAGATTTTTCTGTGTTTTATATGTATTTCCACACTATGAGGTTGGAATAATACTGTGAAATTGTGAAAATGATGATAATGCCCTTTTAGTGTAAGAGTTGTTTGAAAAGACCACCTGAAATTTCAGCCTGTATTGGTGGGATGGAGTTTTGGCCTGGCTGGTGACCTCACCAGGCAGTAAATTAGTTAATAGACCAATAAGAAAGAGAGTTCCAAACCTCTCTGCCAATAACAGCACATTTTCAGTTTTCCCCTCCCCACTCAGACCACTCCCAGACAGTCCAAGCAAAATTCTTGCTTGAGAAATTACTCTTTGCTAAGAAGCTATTTTTGTTTATTTTTGACAACTTTCATTGAAAACAATCACAGTAAGGTACTTAATTGTTCCCTAGAAATGATATGATATTGAGATAAAAACGGCTGCATGTGGATTATGAAGATGAAGCATCCTCTAAAGTTTTGTAGCATTTAGTGTCTCCATAGCTGGTGTTTCCATGATTGAACTCAATGCATACAGGATTATTGATGTACACTACGTGGTGCTCACATCCTCTGAGTGAATTGTTCGTTTTGGAGGTGGTCCAGAATACTAACCCAACAAGCCCCACCCTCTGCCGTTAGAATTGACTGCAGTCTACTCTAATGTTGACTCTTGGTAATTTGTGATAATTTCTTAAATTGAGCAAGTAAAATGTTCACAATTAGGGCCGGTCGGGCGAGAAGAGTACATGAAAAGGTCTAAAAGCGCTTCTCTCAATGGCATGCCGCAAAGTCACTCTTGAATCGCAGCTTTGATAATTTAACCTTTGATATGCACAAGTTGCCCGACCACCGAAATGACACGAGCACATTCTGTGCCCTTTAGATGAAGCAATTGTGTTACTACATGTCCTCTTTTTATTGCCTGTCCACGTTGTACTTAACTGTCCAAGAGGTAATGTCCTCCTATCAACTAGCAATTACTGTACATATGGAGTCCCTGTTACTACTGTCGTTAAGTGCCGGGAGCTCGCTAACAGTTTCATTCCCTCACATGTCGACCCTGGTACCATCAGGGTGATCCACTCTGGGAATAGCAGCAGTCTGAGGAGCTAGACTTGTCTTATTGGTGGCTCTCTCTTTTAATTCACCACACTAATCAATTGTACTGCCATTGCCTCCCAGGGTAATTGTATCGTTCTACTAACTGGAACAGAGCAGGAACCAGGGAAGGAAGAAGGAAGAAAATCAGCATAGATCCAGAAGGGGACATGTTCCCCCAGTAAAACCTGATGGTAATCATCCCAATCCGCTTAGCCCGTGTGACTAATTCTTAAGAGACCTGGCACTTTCACTAGGGTGCTATAGAAGCCATTAAAGTCTTAACTTATACACCTTCCCAGGCTTCACACACACAAACACACACATGTGCACACATACACTCACACACTCAGCACACTGCACTCTTGTTTCATTATCCTGGTGCCTTGTTGGCCTCTGCTCTGCTGGTAGGGAGGTTAAACACAGGAGTGCCAGACTACGTGGTTGGACGGGAAGGGAACGGATGGCTGCCTAGGGGGGGGGGGGGGGGTTGATGAGAAACAGCTGCCCCGGTATGGAAGGGGTCTAGGGGGGAGTTAAGGGGTCCACCCCAACTCCCCCCCCCCCCCCCCCCCTTCACCCCACCCCTCAACATTTTTTTGTGGTTCCGCTGTGTGCTCAAGGCAAGGTCTATGTTGGGGGGCTGAGGTAGGGTGTGAGGTGAGTGAGAGTGGTTTGACGTGTCCTTCTCATTCTAGCCATCAGTGTTAGACCAGACGGAGGCTTCCAGGTCAGACAGGCCGTGACCCCCATGACCTCCGCCTCCTCACCAATGATGACAGATAATACAACCACTTCCCTCTGTTAGCCAAGATAATCCGCCTTTACTTATGGTGTGATACTCTAACACAAGACACACACACACACGTGTGCACACACTCACACTCACAAATACCCTGAACTCTGCATGCTTAAATTCCTCTCTAGTTCAGTCACTGCTTTCATTCAAATGACAATATATCCTAAAAAAACAAAAATATGTGGACACCCCTTCAAATTAGTGGATTCGTCTATTTCGGCCACACCCATAGCTGACAGGTGTATAAAATCGAGCACACAGCCATGCAATCTCCATAGACAAACATTGGCAGTAGAATGGCCTTACTGAAGAGCTCAGTCACGTTCAACGTGGCACCGTCATAGGATGCCACCTTTCCAACAAGTCAGTTCGTCAAATTTCTGCCCTACTAGAGCTGCCCCAGGTCAACTGTAAGTGCTGTTATTGTGAAGTGGAAACATCTAGGAGCAACAATGGCTCAGCCGCGAAGTGGTAGGCCACACAAGCTCACAGAACGGGACTGCAGAGTGCAGAAGCGCATAGTGCGTAAAAATTGTCTGTCCTTGGTTGCAGCACTCACTACCGAGTTCCAAACTGCTTCTGGAAGCAACATCAGCACAAGAACTGTTCGTCGAGAGCTTCATGAAATGGGTGTCCAGCCGTACACAAGCCTAACATCACCATGCACAATGCCAAGCGTTGGCTGGAGTGGTGTAAAGCTCGCCGCCATTGGACTCTGGAGTAGTGGAAACGCGTTCTCTGGAGTGATGAATCACGCTTCACCATCTGGCAGATCGACGGTCGAATCTGGGTTTGGCGGATGCCAGGAGAATGCTACCTGCCCAAATGCATAGTGCCAACTGTACATTTTGGTGGACGAGGAATAATGATCTGGGGCTGTTTTTCATGGTTTGGGCTAGGCCCCTCAGTTTCAGAATGACAATGCCCCCGTGCACAAAGCGAGGTCCATACAGAAATGGTTTGTCGAGATCGGTGTGGAAGAACTTGACTGGCCTGCACAGAGCCCTGATCTCAACCCCATCGAACACTGTTAGGATGAATTGGAACGCCGACTGCAAGCCAGGCCTAATCGCCCAACATCAGTGCCTGACCTAACTAATGATCTTGTGGCTAAATGGAAGCAATCCCCGCAGCAATGTTCCAACATCTAGTGGAAAGCCTTCCCAAAAGAGTGGAGGCTGTTATAGCAGCAACTCCATAATAATGCCCATGATTTTGGAATGAGATGTTCGACGAGCAGGTGGAACATACTTTGGTCATGTAGTGTATATCAAAAATCTGCAAATTAGCAAATCCATATCTGACAAGTGAGTAGAGAAATACAATTGTCAGAGTGAATTATCCTGACAAATTGAATTTAACAAAGCTAGGCAGCACCGCCTTCTAATGGCAGTTCAGGGTGAGATCAAGTTGCACTCATAGAAGTCCTTCCACCAAACACCTTAAGCTAGCCATGCAGTTCTCACTTCTCACACATTGAACATTTCAGACCCAGAGAGCAGGGCCCTGGTTAGTCCATCATTACTGCCTTGACACTGGGGCCCTGTTAAAGTACTGTGAAAATGAATCCTTATTTCCAACCTAGCCACAGATAAAATAAAAAAAAAAGACTGAATAGGTAAAAGCTATGTATGTCTGGGAAACCTTGTTTTTTATCCAAATGTATTAGATCAGTGAATATTTCAAGGAAGCAAGGAAGTCACTATGCTTTTTCAAAGTATTTGAAGAGACTTTGAGTTCCATCCAGAGAGGATGGCTAGTCAGGGCACTAAACCCAGGGAGGAGCAATTGAAAAGGGGCATTAAGCAGCCTGACTCACCGGTGTAGACAAATCTCCCAGGAGCCCCTTTGCAGAACTGCTTAGACTTGTAGGACAGTGTGACCTCCACTACACCAGGGATGTGCCTGGGAGGGGTCTGGACACGGATGGCGTGGGGGGTGATGAGCTGGAAGACAGGGCACAGGAACCATTGAGTCTGACCATGGCTACTAAGGTCTCGTACAAACTAATGGACATCATTACTATATAGTTGTTATGGTACAGGCTTGAAACAGTTTGAAAAACACTTCAAACCTAGGCTGAAATTCAATAAAATCAATGGTGTGACAAAACATTTTTGCATCGTCATCAGACAACATATTGTACCTCACTCCAGACAAGCATGGTCCCGAACACGACCTGCAGGCCATCAAAGAAGTTGTCCCCAATGATGATGACAGTGGCCCCTCCTGTGGTCCATCCCTCACTGGGGCTGATGGCCTTGATGCATGGGGTGGCTGCTTAACACACAGAAAAAAGAGCCTATTCAGTACCTACACTTCTATATAGCCTGATGTCTTTATCCCAATAGAAAGACATATCATGGAAATAAGCCTGGAGAGAGAAAAAATGATGGATTTGTCCTTTTAGGCACGAGAATAAAATAATTCATCAGCAGCTTGGAGTGATGTAGTTAAGCAGACCCTTCAAATGGTCCGCTTCACAAAGGCTAAGCGCTGGACTTGTGAGTGGAAATTATTTGATGTAGCACATTAGGTGTCAGGGCAAATGTAGCTATCAAAATGGATTAGGCGTAGCCCTGCATGTACAGTAGAATTTCAAAGTTGAACACATCTCAAATGAGTCAAGAATAAGGCTGTTGAATGTAAATGACAAGCCAAAGCTGTGTTGTTGGTTTCATGTCATTCCATTGTCTTTGTTCCCTGCGTTCTGGCATGTTGTTCAGAATGCAGTTTCACATTTTACAACATTAATAAATTCATGAATTATTCAGGCTCAGTTTTTGCCTTTTGTGATCGATTCAATCCATTTCACATTGTTTCTTACAATGCTTTTCATCAGCCATGACTTTTGCTACATAGCTGTGCCATTCATCAGAATGCTGGGTGTTATTATAATCGAATTTGAGCGAGCTCATGCCAAACTCTCTCTGTCATTTGATACATTGCCTTAATATGATGTTCACCCTGACACTATGATTACAACAGGCATAGCATGACAGCTAACCATAAAACAGCAATATTAAATGTAGTCTTTTTACATCAATATTTTGTGAATACAATGCGAACTGCGCACATTCTTGTTCTTTTAACGTTTTGTACTATTTCAGTTATAGGTATTTTATATGAGCACATTGCTGTGCTACTATTATCACTCCAGTTCAGTAAATACAATAAATCACCATATGCATTTGCTGTAAGGATCACTACATACAAGACATCTCCCTTTGTTTGCTTTGCTGTTGGGGCTGTTCAGGTTATGTTTGCTTTCTTCCCATAAAGCGCACATGCACACACATGTACACACTGTGGGAAATCTGACTTTAACAATGCTGTTGACTTCATGCTAATCACCCCTTACAGAATTTCATCTCTGAGGTCTGGACGAGTGACATTTGCTTTCCTTAATTGCTAAGCAGAGCATCTGAAAGAAGATCATCTCTCTGTGGGATCGCCGCGTCCCCTCAAAGGAGCTGACCTTCATCAGTGCTGCCGATTATGGCAAATAATTCCCCCTTCAAAATTACTGTAAACAAATTGACTTTGGGGCCAGGAGAGAGAGAGAGAGAGAGAGAGAGCGAGAGAGAGAGAGAGAGAGAGAGAGAGAGGAGGGGTGATGGTGGTTCTTGGGGGGCAGCTGCAGCCAGAAACCTACACACATACACACACCACCTCGGAAATCCCAACGCCCCCCTCTGGTACACAGAAAGGACCCATAGAGAGGGAGCGACCGGGGCCCTAAGCCGTCCACCCTTCTGCCTGAAAATCTGCATATGTCTCAATGCACAGACAGAGAGGGGAGCATGTGCTGAATGGGAACCGTGGCCAAGTGGATTACACAGGCAGCGCAAGCGATCTGATGATAGACACGCACAATGCCCCGCAGCAGATGATCGACATTGCAGGGAGGGAATGAGGATGTCTGAAACAGGGCCTGTCTGTGCATCACTAAACTCATACTTTTAAATTGTTTAAACCAATATTATTATTTTATTTTTTTTACATCCCTAAGCGCAAATCCAACATCAATTTGGTTTCCTTTACTTGCTAATGGTGCAAGTTAGCACTGGAGTATAGAAAACTGATCCTAGATCTGAGCTTAGGGCCAACTTCCGTCTGAAGCTCTTGAAGGCCTACTGAGCCACTCAAACAGGTTCGATGTGTCCGTGGCTGTGGCGTCCTTTGTTCTGCCTGCTGAAATGTGTTGTAATTGTGCTGTGGGACGTCCAGATGGTCGGCTGATAGTGCAGCTGATGGGATTATACCTTTTACCTCTCCCTGGGCCATCTGTTACCCCTTTCTCTCTCCATTTCCCTCTCTCTCCTCAAGAGCAGCGAGGAGCGAGAGACGCGAGAATCGCGCTATCGAGAGAGAGAGTGAGAGCTATGCAGCGCTAGCGGAGACGCGGCGATCTCGATCGCTCATACTCTCATCACTCTATATCCATCTCTCTTCTCTCTCACGTATCTATCGCTCTTCTCTCTCTCTCTCTCTCTCTCTCTCTCTCTCTCTCTCTCTCTCTCTCTTCCTCTGTCTCTCCCTCTCTCAGACGGAGCAGACTGGATTCACTTGTCTTTATTGCATAAACCCTAACAGCATTACAGCCACTTGGCATGCAAATGACTGGGGCGCTGCAGGCTCTATGCTGAGTCTTCCATATTCTCCAAGTCGCTACAGTGGAGGTCAAACCGAGCTAAGGAACGCATGGCATGAGTGTGTATGAGGGTGTGAGTGTGTAAGTGTGTGTGTATTCGTGAAGGATTTTCTGTATATTCATGTCTAAATGTGTATGCTTTTGTGACAGCTCAAACGTGCATGGTTCAGTTGTGTGTAAGTGACAGAAATTCCTGTTCAGCACCAATAGGGGGCAGCACTTGTTGAGCAGCCTGACACTGTCACCCCAGCATTGAGACAATGAACTGAGAGGATGCCTTGCTTTCGCAGACACACAGACAGAGAGTCAGTCAGCCACATACCTGAGGCTTCTCACCCAGTGAACTCCCAGTGAAGAATGTGTTGCTAATTTAAAGCACACTCTGTCTGCCTGCCTGGTGTCAGAACTCTATGGACGACATGGATGGGATTACGTTTTATGACCAAGTATCCTGTTCTCATATGTCATGTCTATGAGTGTCTAGAGTGGGAGACGCAAACAAGCAACGTTTTGGCTAAAGAGCTATGGTACATTGGTAATATACACAAAGTGTTCGTTTTCTACACTCGACTACATTAGATTGGGATGGAAAATAGATTGCGATATATTGGAAAGCAACATTTAGTATATTATAGTTAAATGAAATGTTCTCCATAATTTAAAATGTTTTGGTGATTTAGGCCCTCAAAATCAGGACTGTTATGTATACTTTATGAATATGTATGTAGCTCACACAGATACTAAGCTAAATTGTGTTATTGAAGGAAGCTTGCTTTACAGGGCAAGCTTCCTGCTCTTGTGCTTAGAAGAATGAGGAGGGGAAGAAAGGGGTGGGCAGGGGAAATCTGTGTGGAACACACACACACACTGTCCTGTGGGATGAGGGAACATGGAGGAGAGGGCTCAACCTCTTTAATTGCTCTCCTCATTAAGACTAAGGTTGCTAGGCGATCCACACCTACCCTGTCATAAACGTGAGACATAGACACAAACAGAACATCACTGAGCATAATGACTTTGATGCTCGGGGCAGGACTTTAATTATTTGATTTTGTTCTCCAGTAGTGGAGTCATTAATAAAGACAAAAACAAATAGCTTTTAAACAAATTAGCTTTTCCCCCCACAAGATATATTAATTGTCTTTTTTTTTACCGTTGTTGTATTAAACGTTACATTTGCTTTTGGTGATAGGACCATTAATGTCTATTAAAGTGGAGAGAAGGCCGTTTCAGTCAGTGGTGTGTGTATATAAACTGTTTGCCTAGCCATAATTGCCCCTTGAAATCTGAAGATAAGCAATTTGCACAATTGGCCTGCTCTGTTTTTTCCATAATCTTTCAGCTGTTTATGCTCCCATCTGCGAGAGGAGGCCAGGAGGGGTCAGAAGGTTATGTTTAGTGCAGTTAAATTTTTGGATTTCCCATGGTTTGGTGGTCCTGCTTCTCTCTCTTTTGGCCATGCAGGCAATCAGTCTATCATATGGAATCAGTTGGAAGAAAAACAGTAAGTTCTGTTTTTCTCCAAGACCCTCCTTCCGCCCTCTCCTTCATCCCCTAATTTCTCCTCTCAGCTGAAACTGCAGCACCCAGCAACAGGGAATGTACCTCACTGTGAATTCTTTGCCAATTTCATCATGTTTCTAATAGGTAAAAAATGTTTATGTGCAGTTAACAATTGGTTAAGATTGGAAATAGAATATAATTTTATCATCATTAAAATGTCCATAATTACTAGCATTATTCGATTGATTAGTGCCCTATGCATGGTATTGTATACTATTTCCAATCCACTACAAATAGTATGCATGACGGAGGCAAATAGCGACTTACAACACAGAATGAGAAAATTTTTATGAACGAAAGGAAGATGGAAATGTAAAGAAAAAAGGAAAGCAAATAATATGATGTAAAATGTGCCTACCATTCTCCAGATAAGGAGGCGTACCTTCTGAAGGGTCGAGTCTGCGAGCCCTTCGCCCATGCTTGGAGTTGTTGTGGACAAACATGTTGTCTGAGACAGCCAAGACATGGCCGTCCACATTGACTGTCGTCGAGACGACAACCTGCAACAAGAGTGAAGGTAGACCGTGTCATTTAGCAATCTGTAGGAAGGGGACACAATCACATACAAAACATCAGCTTAACCACGCTTTATTGTTTTCAGATTTCAACAACAACATTTAGCTCTCTCTATAATCACTTGTTTTGACCCACTATGACAATTGTTGCCGTGATGTAATTGATTCACAAAACACATTGATCGACTCATCCATCTACAGTGCCTTCAGAAAGTATTCATACATCTTGACTTATTTCACATTTTGTTGTGTTACAGCCTGAATTTAAAATTGATTCAATTGGGGTGTTTTCTCACCCATCTACACACAATACCCCACAATAACAAAGTGAAAACATGTTTTTAGAAATGTTAGCAAATTTATTGAAAATGAAACACAGAAATATCTCATTTACATAAGTATTCACACCCCTGAGTCAATACATGTTAGAATCACCTTTGGCAGTAATTACAGCTGTGAGTCTTTCTGGGTACGTCTTTAAGAGCTTTGCACACCTGGATTGTACATTATTAAAAAAAATCTTCAAGCTCTGTCAAGTAGGTTGTTGATCATTGCTAGACAGCTATTTTCAAGGCTTGCCATATATTTTCAAGCCAATTTAAGTCAAAACTGTAACTAGGCCACTCAGGAACATTCAATGTTGTCTTGGTAAGCATCTCCAGTTTAGATTTGGCCTTGTGTTTTAGGTTATTGACCTGCTGAAAGGTGGATTTGTCTCCCAGTGTCTGTTGGAAAGCAGAATGAACCAGGTTTTCCTCTAGGACTTTGCCTGTACTTAGCTCTATTCCATTTATTTTTATCCCAAAAAAAACTCCTTAGTCCTTGCCGATGACAAGCATAACCATAACATGATGCAGCCACCACCATGCTTGAAAATATGAAGAGTGGTACTCAGTGATGTGTATTCTGTACAGGCTTCCGTCTTTTCACTGTCAATTAGGTTAGTATTGTGGAGTAACTACAATGTTTTTGATCCATCCTCAGTTTTCTCCTATCACACCCATTATACTGTTTTAAAGTCACCATTGGCCTCGGTGAAATCCCTGAGAAGTTTCCTTCCTCTACAGCAACTGAGTTAGGAAGGACGCCTGTATCTTTGTAGTGACTAGGCGTATTGATACAACATCCAAAGTGTAATTAGTAACTTCACCTTGCTCAAAGGAATATTCAATGTCTGCTTATTTTTTTACCCATCTACCAATAGGTGCCCTTCTTTGAGCGGCATTGGAAACCCTCCCTGGTCTTTGTGGTTGAATCTGTGTTTGAAATTCACTGCTCGACTGAGGGACCTTACAGCTAATTGTATGTGTGGGGTACAAAGATGAGGTAGTCATTCAAAAATCATGTTAAACACTATTCTTGCACACAGAGTGAGTCCATGCAACTTATTATGTGTCTTGTTAAGCACATTCTTACTCCTGAACCTATTTAGGCTTGCCATAAGAAAGGGGTTGAGTACTTATTGGCTCAAGGGATTTCACCTTTTGATTTTTAATTAATTTGTAAAAAATTCTAAAAACATCATTCCACTTTGACATTATGGGATATTGTGTGCAGGCCAGTGACACAAAATCTAAATTTAAACAATTTAAATATTCAGGCTGTCAGACAACAAAATGTGGAAAAAGTAAAGGGATGTGAATACTTTCTGAAGGCACTGTAGTTCCGTACAGTTGACAAACTGGATAAACTCATGAACAACTAAAACAACCCTCTTCTTGGTTTAACAAACATTTCACCTGGATCAAATTCCAAGTCACACTTAGGCGGAGATTCAATCTGATCGCGGGTTATAGGCAAAGTGGCTCTTAAAGGCAATGTTCCCACGTTCGTGGAGATCCCATTCACGGTAAACGCTAAATACTGTATATCGTCTCAATCGAAATTTGCCTTTAAAAGCCGCAGTGCCTTTAACCAGCGATCGGATTGAATCCCGGCCTCAACATATCATAGTGCTTGTTTTTATTGTTGTTTTTTCTCTCCACCACATCTCCAAACAGTGGACTAGGCCATGAATGGAGAAAGTGTTTCCGAGCTGGAAAGAGAGAGCCCCTCTCAGGTTCTGAGTGACCTCAGTGTAGCCGTGGAATTTGGGGGGTGCTTTTTTGGTTAGTTGGGGGTGTGGGGTTGGGAAGGAGGTAGGGGGGCTGAGTGGGGAGGTGAAAGAGCTCCATTCTTGCTCGCAGGTTCAGAGCTGGGCCAATCTGGGGATGATGGATGTGGCCCTCTCTGGCCTCCAGCTGGTTTGGGGGGGGAAATAAGCAGAGTGGAAGGCATGCAGAATACACAAGCTTGGCTGGAGAAACACCTACAGTGAAGCATCTGGTAAAACTATCTGGGAAAAATGGCATTCTGGCCATTGGAATGGAGACCGGAGAAGATAGCCAACAATATTGTAAGCCTTGACCTACAATACCTCCCACCCCCAAATACTCTAACAATAATGTCAAATCATATTCATAGAATATAAGTCCTGCCAGTTGATTCCCTATAAATACGGTAAATCATGATTTTTGAAAGATAAACAGATACAAATGGGGTAGAAGTTTTATACAACACTCACTCATTATTTAAAAGATAACTCAGTAGCTGTCATGGCTGGGGCAGTATGTTCCAGTCTCTTGTGAATCTACGAGTAATGCGATGGTAGAGTGAACACCTGAGCTGTCTGTGAAGGGATTGACTCTGTTAAGTCCAGTTACCCCCTCAGGGAAAAGGAGACGAGGGAGGTCTAGTGGTGACATCAAAAAGAGTCTGTCTGTTTCATGTCTGAGGGTTGCTGGAGGAGGCTAGGTTGGTATGTTTGTCATGGCCCATGATTGGCAGTGACTGATGGCCCCTGTAGTTTGTGGCAAGGCAGATAGGATACCACCATTTTATTCAGGCCTGACCTCCTACCTGGGGTATATGGGTCTGGGATAAGTGGATATGGAGATCACTAACTTCAATGGCACCTCTCCATATTTAATAGGACATGTATTTTAGCTTCTGTAGCCTCTTAGACCTCCAGATAGACGTCTCTTTGGTAATACTATAATATCATTGCTGGCTGCAGTGTTATGGAAAACACCTCTCAGATGGCTGCACAGTGAAGAATTGTGTGTGTGTGAGTGAGTGAGAGTGTGTGTGTGTGTGTGTGTGTGTGTGTGTGTGTGTGTGTGTGTGTGTGTGTGTGTGTGTGTGTGTGTGTGTGTGTGTGTGTGTGTGTGCGTGTGTGTGTGTGTGCGTGCGTGCGTACGTGTCCTACTGGGAAACCCTGAGATAACACATGTGGTGGGATCGTCCTCCCTTCTGTGCTGTGGTTCAGAAAGCTGTCAGGACCACAACTGATATCACCCCTTAAATCCCATATCCTTATTTTTGTCAGATGGTGTTCTCCAATAAATATTCTTACATGTGTTCAGCAGCACACTGACACCCTCTGCATGGGTGTGTGCATTTAAACCTGAGTGAGTTTAAAACTGTGTGTGTGTGTGTAAATTTGTGTAACTTTCAGTTACCTGGAACCTGCGCATGTCTCTGGGATTCCCTGCATTCTTCAGACAGTTCTGATTGCACTTCAGGAAGAACTTCAGGAAGAATCTGAAAGAGAGCACAAAACAAAGATATAATTTGACTACATTGTACTACTATGGTTTACAAAATAGTCCAAAAACAATTGAAGCATAGAGCCATTCAAGAATTCATCTCTAATGGAATTCCATAAAATCAAAACAGGTCCATGCCACTCAACATGTCAACAACAAATCTGTTTCACCAACATCAAATGGATAGATGCTACTCAACTGTTTAAAATAATGCAGATATCTACTGTTGCTTCTAATATCCCTTAGCAGCAACCCTTTGTCATATTATCCTCTCACCTGAGTTCACAGCCTGCTCCCAGACCCATCTGTTACTAGCATACAGGAAGTCACTTGATATTCCACCCATCTATTTAATCCCAGAACACCCCCTGTGCAATTAAAGTTGTGCTGTTCAATAGGGAGGCAAATGAGGCCCACCTGTGACCAGGTCTTGTTTGAAGAGCATCAGGGATAAAGGACCTAACAAGGTGAGAGCACGCCACAAAACGTATAGTCCTGTCAAGACAATTAGGCGGCCACTCCTGGGACCTTCGCTTCACGCCACACACACACACACGCACACAAACACTGGCGGATGGGTGAGGCAATTATGCCACAAATTACAACCTAGCTAATCGTCTCTGAAGAAATGTCATGTGAGAGACAGATCTGTGGTTGGTTAGTCTGTGAGCTTCTCTCTCTCTCTTTATCTTTTTATCTCTTCCTCTCTCTCTCTCTCTCTCTCTCTCTCTCTCTCTCTCTCTCTCTCTCGCTCTCTCTCGCTCTCTCTCGCTGCGCTTCAGCTGCCAAGTGTTTGCCTGTGAGCGTCAAATGAACGTCAAGTCACTGTGATTTTATTGAAACCGCCTCCTATCGTGAGCTCTCCTTTTAAACATAACCTTTCCGTGATCCAGTAGATAACATTACAAAGGAGACAGGTGGGGGAGACTTAACAGTCCCTGACTTGGTTTGCTGTCTCCTGCTACAAATGTCTTCCCTAATACCACTACAAGTGATGACAACAATATGTCCTAAACCTGACAGTGGAATCAATGGTTTTATCAGCAGAACATACTGCAACACACTTTAATTGACTTTCTTGTCATGTACAGTAAAAACATACTACAGAATCATTAGGATTCATGTTTTTTGGCTTCCTCCAAGTTTGATGTACACTCACCATCATTTATTGGTTTAATGCACAATTTCATGGTTTCCATTGAAAAGCTAAATTGGCACTGTTGCCACTTATTGCATTACCATGGATTGAATTGACGTTTCTTTACTCAACATAGAGGTTGTTGCCTAAGAAGGCCCTTTCTCAACACCTAGCCTCCTACTTCTAACTCCACAGTGGGATCTGGGCCAATGCAATAAATCAGTGCCTTGAAATGCCCCCTCTTACCCTGGCCACATTAACACATGCAGTGGTCATTTAGAAGAGTTCTCCAGTAAGACTCCAATACCCTTAGCACCACCGCCAGCCCCAAAGAGCATGAGAGGTGAGAAAATATTTTCACTCCTCATCCAAGGGGCTTTGGCTCTGCAATCAATAAAAAGTTTTAAGCCACGCCAAAATGCTGATTGCCTGTTGGTGTGCCGCGAGGCCATAAAAAACCTGACTTGTCATTAGTGCATTTCGCCTGATTGTGTTCAGTGTGTTTTTGGTTGCAGCTGCTGGCCTATCATCAAAATGACCATTATGTACTCTAATTCCCTGACCTTGTTTTTATTTCCCCAAAGAGTCGTAATGCAGAGCAGTAGACATCTGCGGAAAGCAGACCTGAAATACGACTTTTATTTGTCTGTCGCCTCTCATACAGATTGGATTAGACTAGTGTTTGTGTGTTTTGGTAAGAGCCTGTGTGTGTCCAAGATTGATGTGCACTGTATGTTTTCACCTTGTGCAACCCAAAAGAAATATATATGCAAAAGAAAAAGATTAAAAAGGAATTTTGTTGCCAAAATGTAAATGTTATTGAAGCGACATGTTATTTTTAACATGGGGCTTTTCTGCTCCTTTGTCTGTTGTGTTGTAGTACAATTACAACGTGTAAAACTGCAGTAAAACAAAAAGTGAGCAATAAACAGAAAAGGACAATTTGGGAATAGAAAGCAGCCGTTCTATTGTGAACTAGCTCATTTATGTTTACTGTAATGAAGACGATTAACCACATTTTCCAGCTAACAGATAAGCTTCATTTCAACAGTAGTCCATGTTAGTGGCAACAGTAAAGCATCATTACATTAGAGTTGGTTAACATTCTACATGAGCACACTGTAAATTGGTCCTTGGTGAAAAGGCAAGCAATTAAGACAAGCCTCTCTCTTTTACTTCTTAAATATCTACAGAACTTTGTGCTGGTGTTTTGCTCGGAGACAAAAACGAGATTGTTTGATAGTTTTTTAATGGGATATCATGGCGACGACGCCATTAGATGTTGGCAACGGAGGGCAAAGGGGGGATCGAGAGAAAGAATGAACTGCAATTAGGTTTGATTAAAGCTATCCTTCTCAATAATCAGCGCTAGTGACAGGACAGGAGGACCCTCGTGGCCGTGGAGATGGAGAAAGGTGTAGAGAGATATTAAGGCCAATGAAGGAGATATTAACATGGCTAATTAAAGCAACTTCTCCAAAGCCAGTAGACGAGCGAGGCTCTCAGCGGACTGCCATGGAGGAAATAATCGGCCCAGACAGCTATCAGTTGGAGCAGGGCTGCAATTCACCAGAGAGAGGGAGAGAGAGAAGAGAGAGTGGTGGTGGTAGAGAAAGAGTAGGAGACAGAGAAGGGGGGAGAGTAGAAGAGAGAACGAGGGGAGGAGGAAACTATGAAGTGGGAAGAAAGTCAAATGAGAGAGAGGGAGACAGGCGAAAGCCTAAAGAGATAGACTTCCAGTACTGGAGAGCTATGCTCATTTTGACACAACCCTCTCCCTGTCTGAAGTCTGCCAGTATAACTACGACCTGACATCAGCTTTTATCTTCCAACAGCCCGAGTTACAGGCCCACAAATCAACGCCAAAACGATCCCTTTCTAACGGAGACTAGGGCAATTAATAGGATTCTCCTGTAGCCTGTACCTCCATGCTCGCCACACTGCCGAGGCTAGCTACTAATCATGCGATAATGATTTCTCTCCCTCTGGTCAAAGGGGAAATAGATTCTCTCTTTAGTAATGCTGCGGGCTCGGCGGTTTCCACTCCGTGTGCTTCACACGCCTGGTAATTGAGGAGAAAAAAGCAGACTTTGGCACTTTGACTGATTTGAGGGCTGCTAGACCCTCTTATCTCTACTCTGATCATTTTAGGCTGACACTCAAAGGGAGACCCGTCGGCCTAATGCTAGCTCACCCCTCTCCCATCATCAAATAGAGGAGAAATGGAGAAAACAAACAGATGAAGTGAGGAGACGCTTCCTGATTTAAGGAGCTAAGCTAATTGGGAGAGGGAGATGTCACCCACTCCTTGACATCTCTGCCTTTGATTCAGGGACAAATGGGAAGTAATCACTCCATTGTATTCTTACAGTACTACCAATATTAACAGGGTATCATACAGCATTTATTTCACTGTGTTTTATACACCACCCATTTCAGAAGTTCACCACCGAAACGTCCATGATTGTCAGGTATTGACCGTCCTTAGCTCCTGATTGGTGCCCAAGCAATAATGACTGCCATGAAGAGTCCACAGCCAGCGGACATGACAGTGAGGTCATCATTGCAGGGCGATGAGTATCGACCACCACCCAGCCACAGCCCATCAGACCCCAGTATGGGCCTCACTATGGGCCTCAGTGAGGCTGGAGGAGACCTGGAACCAGCGTCTCACAGCACACCACTACGATCTGCTGACAGCAAATCTCCTCATTGAGATAGTAGTACACAGGTCAATAAAGTATTGGATTTCCAAAACACCAGGGTCTTAATGTCAAGCCTTCTGCATCCCCTCCAGCTCCAGTATGTAAGGTACTCTATCGTACTTCATCTACTGTACTTCACTCAGGTCCCTGTTCTGACAGGCCAGGCTCCATTACACTGGTTTGATCTTTTAACATTCCATTATAAACAAGGAGCAAGTGTTTTGGTCTATGTAGGTTGTTCTGTACTAACACATCTTAATTTACCTGCTGATGAAAGAAATGAACCTCTAAAATTCCAGAGGGATTTTTAGCAACCTGGTCATTGCTGTCAAACTCTGGTTGCTTGCTGTCTTCTCTCATCAACTACAGCTGTTTTTCTTCCCCTTCCCCGTAGTAACCACAGCACATTAACAATATTTGCTCTACCCCTGTACAAGCGCCCAGGGACCAGCCCCACAGATCCTATCACTTCTTTATCAGGGAACAAGTGCCTTACTATCAAATGTTATTGGGTTGAGGGAAATTAACCCTTTCCACTCTAGGGGCCGTTGCCCTCCTCTGAGAATGCTATTGCTGAGAATGCTATTGCTAAAACATTTCACTATCATTGTTTTTGTGTTCAACATCTAGTATTCCCCTTATAATAATAATAATATGCCATTTAGCAGACGCTTTTATCCAAAGCGAGGGCTGTTGAGACATACTAACAATAAAACCTCCCCATTCATCCCCTATAGTCTATACCCTTTCCTCCACCATCCCACTGTTCTCTAATGGCCAGAATGGCATTGACATCATTTCACTTGAGGATCCCCAACTCTGTCAATCCCTCTTAATTTAGTTCATGGCTGCAGGACTCATTACAGAAGAGAACTCTCTCTCTCTCTCTCTCTCTCTCTCTCTCTCTCTCTCTCTCTAGGGCTGTGCTTTAGGTCTAACCCAGCACATACTACATGTTTAGCCCCAAGCTCTCTACCGTTACCACACTACAAGCTACTGAAGCTGTATAGTGGGCCTGCTGCTCTTTGTTTTACAGTGAATCTGGGTTCTCTGTACCATGGCTTTGTAGAACATAAAGCACAAAACATAAATTATTCTACTGCTTTTTGTCTAGTGTGGCCTTACTGTGAAAATCAGCATACCTGGGGTCGGCAGGTAGCTTAGTGGGTAAGAGCGTTGTGCCAGTAACCGAAAGGTCGCTGGTTCTAATCCCCGAGCCGACTAGGTGAAAAATCTGTCGATGTGCCCTTAAGCAAGGCACTTAACCCTAATTGCTCTGGATAAGAGCGTCTGCTAAATGACTAAAATGTAAAATGAATCAACAGCTAGTTTCAGTGATACGACCAATACTATTTCTACTCTTACTGAAATGTTGATATATTCCAGTTTGATTTATCTTAAAATATTATGAATACATTATTGTTACTTACACACCTTCTCGACAATACAGGTGATGATGGTG